GCCATTCACAGACCCTGGCCATGGCCACGGAACATGGTTTGAGAATGGTTTAAACCACCAAAGTCTTGAGTTGGAGAGCTGGTTCCCAGTGCAGTGGTGCTGAGAGGTAGTGGTTACTGCCATAGCCTCAGTCCGTGTCTCACAGAGTCAAAGACTGAAGTTGAGGACAGAGTGGGTAGACAGGGGGAGTGCTATAATGAAGAAGAAATAGCTCCCAAGAGCCAGGAAGGGGATCCAAAAGTGGATTGCCATGGGGACTCTAAAAGTTTTTATACAAAAAAGTGACCAGGGTTCAGACCACTCTGAGCCAAGCTAAGGAAACCTCTAGGACTAAAACAAGCTTTTTTGAACTAGAAATGGGCCTATGAGGAATCGAGGCAGGTAGCATGCTCATGTCTGTAGGTGCCTCTTTCCTGCTACCCTATCCAAGTGGTTCATTAAAAGAACAAAGTGAGAAGGAAAACACTGTTCCAGATAGGTAGGAGCAGAAACTGTCACTGCGGCCAGATGTCACCTTGCTCCTTACCTCACTAGTTCCATCCCTGGGCTTAATCATCCACTTGGTTCTTGTTAACTCTTGACCCCACCCAGGATCCAGTTTATCTGACCTGGGTCTGGTCATGCCAACTGTCTGCAGTGCGATGCTATCTTCTACCTAATGTACCTGTTGATAACAGTGGGGCCTGACAGAGGTCTGTAAGAGTGGGGCTGCCCACTCATGCAGGAATCCATGTAGTTCCCACAAGGGCCAGTTAGCACTTGTGAAAGGCGAGGCTGGCACCTCCTCCATCTCCGGCCCACATGCTCACTCTGCACTTGTGCCTGGCCTTTCCACTTTTTTCTGCCAGGATAGGGCAGCATGAGGCCATCACCAGAAGCCAAGAAGATGCAGTTGCCAGGTCATGGGCTTTCAGCCTCCACAACTGTGAGCTATAGAAATCTCTTCTGGATACATGATCCAGTCAGAGGTGTTCTGTTACAGCAACAGGAAATAGACAAAGACAATGTGTCGGGCCACAGGGCAAATATGAGCAGGTACCAGTGACTTGAGGCCATGTGTGTCCAGGGCCTGAAAACCCGTGAGGGCCACCCTGCTCCAGACTTGGTGTGGCAGAAAGAATTCTGTGAGGCTTCTGAGACCCCTCAGCCCCGTGAGGATGTGCACTTGGCCTAAAACAGAGGAGTAGGAGAAGAGAGGTGTCGCCCAACACAAGAGCCCTAACTGGGAGAAGAAGCTCCACAGAACCAGCAAACCCTATGCTTCAGTCTGAGGCTGGATGAGGAGAGGCATTTGTAGAAAGTGTCTGAATTCCTTGGGAGGCTAAAGGGAAGCAGGAATTATTTTAACTCTGTCTGGTGTGACTTCCCATTGAAGAATGTTTCTGTTTCTGTTTGGGGCTGGGTGGGGGTCCCACAGTGGGACGTGTTATTTCCTGTTCTCAGTAGGAAAGTGGGGGTCATGATGTCTTCCCCACATCTGCAGTTTCAAATGCTGTTAGATCAAGGGAGCACACTCTGGGTGTCATTCTCTGCCAACCTGCTTCCCTTTATATAACAGAAAGGATCTTGCAGATGTCACTAAGGCCCCTATTCGGTACAAATGAGTTGACCCCAAGGGAGTTGCCCTGACATAATCTGGTAAGCTTTTAAAAGGAGCCAGAGAGATGCCAGGCTGGAGGGAGCTCCTGCCAGCCTTGCAGGGCAGAGTGCCTTATGGAGGGACACATGGCAGGAGTAGCCTTGGAGAGCCCAGAAAGACCCAGCAAGAACTTCAGACTTCAGTCCTACAGCCTCAAGGAATGGGATGGAGGCAGAAGAGGACCCCAAGCCTCAGACAAGGCCTGTCCTGGCTGACACCTTGATCTCAGGCTGGGGAGACTGCAGGGAACATAATGAAAACATGCTGGGTTCCTGACCTGCAGACAGACCAGAGATGTGTGTGGTCTGAGGTTGCATGGTCTGTGGTGAGTCTCTTTGGCCATAAGTTGCTAACACACTTGGGTGGGACCCCATGCCCCCTGCCTGTGTGTCCTGTGCAACGTGGTCATCAGGTCCAGCGTCCACCCAGTGCCGTCTGCAGCATCATGTAGAGGCCCTGGCACTCCCTGCCACCAGGGACAGCTACTGGGATCAACAAGTAAGCTGGCCTCTTGTCACAGCATCCTCGATGGTGACATGCACTGGGACATTCTCAGGCACTCCTGCGTGAGGGCCTCTCCATACTGAGTTCTCCAGCATTGGACTGGAAATGCCATGACTCTTCTTTCCTCACTTGTGGCAGTGTTGCTGGCACAGACCTCTAGGCTAGTCCACCACCCACAGCCCTCCCAGACTTCCTCTGGGAACCTGAAGATGTCACCTGTGGCTTCTGTGGCTACTGTCAGGAAGTTTGTGTTGGGTCCAGCTGTCTTTTCCGAGAAGGCAGTCTGGCCCTTCTTCCCACTGCTTATCGGAAAGCCTCTTTCTCATCCACAACATCCACCATAACTGACCTGTTTTCCATCAGGCATCCCAGAAGCTGAGCTTGAGGCAGGGATTCCTTTGCATAGATGACCCATTGAGGGCTCACTTGCAGAAAAAACCTACAGCAGTGAAGGCGGCAGGACCAGACAGGGGCAGAAGCTGGGCCAAGGTGTGAGCTGGGGAGGAGCAGCCCGATCCCATGGGGAGCTCAGGAGCAAGGTGCGCATCCCAGAGGTTCCACCTCTCTTGCCCCTGCAGCTGGATGCCAGGCTGAGGACTCTCTGTCTGGGAGGAGACAGAGGTAAGCCCTGAGCATTTCCAAGTGAGGCAACTCTCTGTGACCAAGGAATGATCTCTGAAGAAGGACACATCCCTGAGCCATCTGCAGCCATTTCCAGTGGAGGGTGGGTGTCCAGCCAGGTAAGGGGACCAGCCAGGACTCCGTGGACCTCCTGTTCTCTCTGGGGAGATGGGTGCCTCCATCTCTTTCACTCTCTGGTCTACAATTGGATAATTTCCTTGGATCAGTCTTCCTGATGCTAATAACATTTTCTAATATGCTTTTTATCTTCCCCATTGAATTTTTAATGACTACATTCTTCATTTCCAGAAGTTTTATTTGGTTCTTTTAATAATCAACTGTTCTTTTGCTTAGTGTCTTATTCTTTTGTTATCTATCCATTGCAACTTCCTCAGTAATTTCTAACATTTATTTTTAATCTTGCCTATATTATCTCAGTGTCTAGGGTGGGAGTGTAATCTTAGTTTTTATTTATCTACTGACTCTTGCTCACAGTGAATTGTTTCCTATGGGCCTTACAATTTTATATAAAATCTCATATTTGATCTAAGACCCTTGGGTTGTATAATTTTTCAGTTATGAGTTCATTTTGAGTGAGGCTTTATGGGAATCTGTGTAAGGTGGGTGGAGGGTTCCGGTTAGAGCTCTTTGCTCCTGCCAGGGTCCCCAAATTTTCCTGCACTGAGACTGCTTTGTATGTCGGGGGCTGAAAGTCCTGGGCTGCAAAGGGAGTGAGAAGAGGTCCTGCTGCAGAGCTGGGGCCTCCTCCCCAGACAGGGCCAGGTGGAAGCAGACACTGTCCGTGTCCCTCCCTGCCCTAGAGCCACCCTTCTCTGTTCTTTCCTCCACTGACCATGCAGAATTCCAACTCTTTGCTTGGGTGTTCAGATCCTAGCCCTTGGATTATGGAAAGTTACTTTCTTGTACCCATAGCTATGTGTTTTTAAAAGCACTGTCTCTCAGGCAGCATCCCCAGGTCATCTGCAAGGACAGTGTCTCCACGTGCATAGATTGTTGCCTGGCCCGAGTCCCTTCCCCTGCTACTGAAATCAGTGTGTGAATAACAACTTCTCTGCAGCTCCCCCTGAGCTTGCCTGCTGCTGCCTCTCAGGTGCTCTATTCTGCCCTCTTCCCACCTAGCACCCCCATTCCATCCAGCCTGGACCCCAGAGTTAATCACCTCCACCACTGTGTCCTCAGGTCCTCAAACCATGGCCTTTTGTCCCTACAACTGATCACATATCCACCCAGCATCAGAGTTTTCTGCAGTAGGGCCTCTGAGTGCTGCAAAAGACAAACACACACATAAACAAAACAAATGACCCTGCCACCACATACACTCTGCCACAGCTGACTCAGTGACCCCTTCCACACCCACCCAGTACTGGACTTTACGTGAGCACATTCAGGGCTGGCTCCTGTTACCTTTGCCGCCTCGTCCCTACCACTGCACTTCGGCATATGTCTCTATCCTTGTTTCCCCTCCTTTCCTTTGGGGGCCCCTCTGCTCACAGTGTTGTGTTGCATTTTCAGGATCTCTCTGAGGCCTTGACAAGAGGACTGTGGCCTTCTGCTTATGCCATTTGGGCCCCATGCTGACCCTTCCAGGGTCTCTTTCCCCAGGTGAGAGGGTAGGAAAGTCAAGGGAGTCTATGTCCAAATGGCCTGATTCCACTTCCAAGGCCTCTCTCTGCCTCAGGCTGACACCCCAGAAGCAGAACCTCCTGAGACAGAAGGGAAGACTCTGGCTCTCCCCAAGGGACACTTTATATTTTTCCCCCTTTCTAACTTTGATAGCCAGGGCTACCTCAAATGCCTCCAGCTCCCAGTACTTCAGATACCTTGTGACTACTCTGGGAGACTTTGCCTTTGGCAGTGGTGGCTTTGGACACACTGGGACTGTCACAGGTGGCCCCATCCTCCAGACTGGATGGTTCTGACCCCCTGTGGCTGTTCCTGATGGCCCCACCTGGGCCTCCCAGGAGCCTCTTCCCCACTATGGCGATCAGGGTAGGAGGCCTGCACAGGCTGGCCTGTAAAGTGCAGAAAGCCTGTGGTTTTTCGGCAGGAGACTGCATGTGCAGGCCTGCCCTTTCTGTCTACACAGGCAGCCCTCTTCTCACGCTCATCAGGTCAGTCTGGGCCTTCGCTGTCCTGCACTCCTCCTTTCCTAATGCTGTAGCATAAGACCCAATTAAACATCTTTTGGAGAACTTTATTTTGCATATTTGTGATTTCAATCTGGAGTAGGGTAGGCTGAACTGGCTGCATTATTTGCTGGTAACACTAAAGGCAGTAGGCACCGAAAATGGCCAGCAGCCAGAGCTGGTAACATTGTGGGTGGCTTCCAACCAGAGAGTGACCAATAACAAGGGAGAACTTTTCCCTCTGAGTGACTGAAGACCTTGGAGAGCTGCTGGAGCTGCTCGCTTCATGGCTTGGAGAGCAGTGAGGACAGCTGCTAACATGAGGAGATGAGAGCTGCTGGCATTCACAGTTCGGAGTGGGTAACACTAGAGCAGCTACACTAGGGCACTTGCACTTTGCTTATTCATGATTTCTATCTGAATTGAGCAAAGGAGCCCCTGGCCAATGAATGGGTAAAAATACCCCTAGGGTACTCGCTCCTGAGTTTGAGGGCAGGCCACGTCAGCAGGCAGGAAGCAAAGTACAGCTCGGGTAGGTGCAAGATGAGGCCGGTGGGAAGGAGAAGGTGGGTAGGGCAGCATCTGGGGCTCCACAGCAGAGCTGAGAGTTCTGAGTTCCAGGAAGGCACAGCAGCCTGTACACACAAGGAGACAGAAAGCACACATTTGAACCCACAGCTGGTGGGCATCTTTGCTCTTACATATGTAGACATGAGGTGCAGATGCCTCCACTTGGCATTCAGCTGGCCCACAAGTTAGGGACAGTCTGTTGGTTCTGTCTCATCTCATACCTCTCCTCAGCCAAGGTATACCAGATATACCACAACCTTCTCATGAACATAAAACCCTTGCTCCAGGCCTTCCCAGGCCAACTCCTGGCCTCCATTTTACACTGGTGGGTAACCGTCTAAATTATTTAAACCAATCCCTTTGACCTTGAACAGGGCACTGTATGAGTTTCACTGGAGTGGTGAATGGCCTGTTCACTGCTTCTGGTCCTCTTGGTGTCCTGTCTCATCCCAAGTACGAGAGAGGTGACCTGGCAGCTGCTCTCCTGGTGCCTGTCACTGATGCTTAGGGTGAGGTTCTGGGGGACCCCTTCAGAACCTATGCTTATACTCTAGAAGGACAGGAACTTGGCTCCAGTGTGGCCAGCCTTGACCTGAGATGGGAGCTGGTGGCCTCCTCTGAGGACAGGCAGACTGGTTGACTGTATAATACAGGTGGTGTTGGTTTCCCTCCTTCTCTGTCCCCTCCCCAGAGCCCTACCTCCTGGGGTTCTTGTTTTGGCTTTGCTTTAGGAGGACCTGGGCTAACACACTTTATATAGCAATTGATCACAAGTGCTTCCCTGTCACTAGCTTGCGATCCCTGTCCAGCAGTGGCCTCCTCTGGACAACTGTGTTTCCCAGCCTCCTTCCTTCCCGGGCTCCCTACTTCCTGCCATTCTCCACTCTCCCAAGGGGCCTGGTTTCCATTACCCTCACCCTCTACCTCCTCCATGACTTTGACTATTTCCTCTGTGCTGATGACCCAACATGTTACCTCAAGAGAAATTCAAAGAAAGATGGCTTTTGATGGGATGTTCTAGGTAGGCTTGTGTCTAATCAGTGATCCAAGCCTGAAAGGGGGCAAGAGAAGCCAGGTGAGAAGCCAGGTGAGACTCCATACTCAGTACTTCTGTTGTTCTGTTTGTTTAGTTGAGCCTTGTCTGCTGCAGGCTTTGGGAGAGAGCCTTGGAGGGCACAGGACAGAAGTGTCTGGATGAGGTTGGAAGAGGCACAGGAAGAGCCTCACCTCACATCACTCGCTCATGCTCAGCCCTTGTTGCCAAGCAATACATCACTGCAGAGTTTAGAAAACACAGTTAGCAAACAAGAGCCAGTGATCTCTCATCTTCCAAACACTCAGGAAAACCACGAGAACATTCTGGTATGCATCTTTTGTTTTTATTTATAAAAATTATACTGTAATGAGGTTTTGTAGAGGTCCCTTTTGTTATAAACTCAATTTCTACGATATAAAACCCCCTATATATATATATATTCATTCCAACCATTATTTTGGTGACCACTTTAGCTAAAAGTTTATCAACACCCATATACTTTAGAATGAAGTTCTAGAATTGCAATCCGTAGGTGGAAGAACACAAATTTTTAAGCTTTTGTATGCAGTTAAGTAAATGTCTAAAGTTTGCCAGTTGACACTCAGTTAATGTGTGGTGTTTATTTCCTCACATTGCATTTTCTTATGTTATTAAGGAAGAGAACATTCTGCCGTGTTTATTGCTGTGTTCCTTCTGTTTTCATGTCCTTGCCTCTGCCTATTTTGCTTTTGGAATGCTCATCTTTGTCTCAGCTTTGTCTCTTACCTGGGAAGGAGAACAGCCTTTGAGAAACACGATGCAAACACTTCTCCCATTTTTATCTGTGTTTTGATGAACAAACAGTTCTTCCTCCTTTCCAAATTGGGGCCATGAGTGCCTCCACATTTTTTTTCAGGTAAATGCTCAAGAAAGGCACAGCTTTTAAGTTTCAATAGGTGTTTATCCCAGTGCAATACACACTCGAATCCAGAAAAGCATCACTTCCTTCACTCCAGAAAGTTACTGTATGTTCTTCCCCATCAATTTTCTGCCCACCCACCCTAAAGAACAACTCATTGGACTTCCATTCACATGGGTTATTGGTTCCCGGGTTTAATGTTAGTAGAGTCACAGTGTGCTTCTGATATTCACTCATCGTTAAGTTCACTTTTTTATTGCAGAGTAGTATTCTCTTGTATTTATCCATACAAGTGGGTTATCCATTTTTCCACTGATTATATTCAACATTGTAATACTCAAAGATTAAAGTCAAATTATTAGTATTTTCCTTTATGATTGATGGTATTCTTTCTATTCCATTGCCAAACAGAAAAGTTGTTTTTGTTTTTCTAAACAGTTAAATCTTTACTTCATTTGATAAGGCAGAGATTCAACATTATTCCTTTCCCTCCAAGTGATCAGCAGGTAGTCATCCACTGCATATTGTGACTTGAAAAGCCACTTTATTATATTTTAAGACCTCACAGGGGTGATATTAAAAATAGTAAACAACTGGTATGGCACAGCCTGGAAGGCTGCCCATCAACAACAGCTGGAACAGCCAACTGTGCATATGCTGGCTGGATACCAGCCCTGAGCTTCTACATTTACTTAGGGCTGTTTCTTTCCTTTATATTATTTTCCATCCATGGAGGCCAGTATCATTCCATTTTAGAGGTAGAAAATTCTGTTTTCTGGAACAGTTTCTCCCTCATTACTCTTGACCGCTCAAATGTTTATTCTCCCAAATAAACTATTCAATTTGATCAATTCCCAAGAAGTTCTAATATGGACTCAGTTACATTCAGGTATGTAAGGTGTTCTCTGGCTAATGAGGATTTCCAACCTGCCTACCTCTTGTTCAATGCCCAGTATTGTCATTGTACACTTATTGTATAGCTGGCCATTTTGCTGGACTTCTAATTGTAGATTTTGAGTCTTTGGGACTGCTTCATTTCTGCACTAAGGACTGATTCCTTTAACAGCAGGACTCATCTTAAGATTGATACTGTGTGAAGTTCCCATATGAAGCGCCAGGTCCGAGTTCCGGGGCACTGCGGCTGTAACTCTGCCTGTCCTTTTATGCTTTGCTCACGGTAGAGACCCTTCTACGTAGGGAGCTCCTCTGCACTGGCAGTGGACAGGTGTGACAGATACATCTGTTCAAGATCCTAAGTATCTCCTCTCCAGAAAAGGCAGGTGAGGTTCTTTCAGTCATTTACAGGTGCCTCACATTCCAGTAAGGCCTGAGGGCTCCAGGTGAAGTCAAACTCTTTCATGTAATTCCACCTAAGATTGTATTTTCCCTGACCTTTTTGCTCAGGCAGATGTCTCTCACTTCTTGTAAAATCAATTTTAGAAGATTTATGTTCAGGACTTTATAGTCGATACATTTTTAGATAACCCTGTTGAACAATTTTGAACCTTGATTTTTATCACCTAAATGTTAGCTGGCTTCTGCTTTTGCTTCATTTCACCTGAAAGCTGATAACGTACCTTTCCTACCAGTAACCAGCACTATTCCTTAATTGTGGTCATCGGCTTCAGCTTTCTCGTTTTAAAATTCTGTGATTCAATCTTTGGTTTCAAAGTTGATCTCTAGCAGAGGATTTCTTACAACAAGCAGTTTTTTGATTATTATGTATTATTTCGATACATTCAAAAAATGTCAGGTCACACATTTTGTTTTGCAAACTCTTTGACCCACGTAAGTCCGGCTTTTCCTGGAGTCACTGATCTAGAACGTTATTAAATAGAATCTCTGTTCAATTCCTAAAGGGCAAGACCTACATGGCCCCGCCACCTGACAGCCCAGACACTGTCACAGAGGCCAAGGGTGCTGCTGCTTCCTGGAATGCGCGACTCCGACAGCTTGGAGAAACGGTGCCACGCTCCCGAGGGTCACACAGGGCCCTGGGCAGTCAGGCGCGTGGCCTGCAGATGCACATCCACACTCTACTCCCGCACGGGCGGCAACAAAGGCGCGTGGCCCGGGCTTGCACAGGACCTAGCGCGGCCTTTCAGGAAGCTGCACCCTCACTGCGCTCCCAGCGGGTGAGCTTGTCCCAAGTCTGCCAGCCAGGTTGCTCACAGCGCAGGCCGGGCGCACCCGACCCAGCCCTCCATCCTGCCAGACAGCTCTCC